GTATTTCAGAATTTTTACTGGGATGATGTATCACTACCCTATCAACCCGACAGGCAAGGTAGACGCCCGCCTCATAAATTATCTAAATCTTTAAAATGTTCAAAACGCTGGGAATTATTTTTTCTGCGACTGAAGCGTTAATCACAACTATTTCTTCTTTTTCTCTACAAATTAAAAAATATTTCAACATAAGAGATCCAGCATTACATTCTGCAATAACAACCCTGTTTACTGGTAGAAATGAATTTGAAATACCTGAAGAATTCCACTAGACACACAGCAAGGGTACCTCGAGGTGTGGGAATGTCCTAGTGCAAGCTCCTAGACAAAGAATGGAACATGGTTCAACGAGTGACGGTCGAGTAACACGGCTCTGGCCCGCACCAATGTCAAAAAGCTGACTGTTGCAAATGTGGACGCCTTATCTGTCTTGTGTTGTATAATGTCACCAAGTCTTGAACACCAGAAAGAGATGATAAGAAACCCAGGAAAAGCTCCCAGAAACACTTTCTCTTACGGTTCAAGAGTATGGCACTATCACAAGTTGGTTTAGGTTTGGTTTGAGGGCTGCACAGAGGAAGGAGAATAACATATCATTGCAACGATGGGAGTCTCTTTTGTCGTAAGGCTATTCAATATTCAACGGACAGAAATTGTTTAGAGATTAAGTTTAATGTGAGCTTAGGTCTGACTAAAAAATTAACAGTGTCTAATGCAGGCCCTGAACTATGGGTTTCAGAAATCTTTATGTTGCTAGACTCGATCTCGATAAACAGATCGCTACCGAAGAAATATGAACGTAAGACTTAGTAAATACGGATATGAAAAATACCACCCTTATACCAAGGGGATTGAGATAAATATTAAGTGGAACCCTATTAGATAGGGAAGAAGGGGGGACTTGCTGCTCAATTGTGCTACAGGGAACTGTTAAATATAATTATGTATCGCCCTGCCAAAAGGACGGGCAAGTAGGAGCGCGAGTCCAGTATTTTGGAATCGAGTCCAAGTCCGAGTATTTATACAATGCTCGAGGTAGCACTCACAGAGGCTACATACTCGCGAGTACTCGGACACCCATAAAAGCGAGTTATAAGTCTTTCTTTTTTTTAAAAGCGTTTTACGGCTCTTGCAACTGAGTAAGGTCATATGAACGCGCAGGACACATGAAACGTTCTTAGTTTGTAGGAAATTTTGAATTTTGCCCAAGTAGCAGCTGAAGCTTACTCTCATTGATTTTGGGACTCCGGATCTTTAACGTGCGCAACTTGCACTCGAGACCTCCGAGACAGTTATAAGTCTAAAAAAAGAAAGGCAGGACAAACAGTGGTCAAAAAGATATCTTTACAAAAAGACGTTTTTTGAGAGCTAAAAGGCACACAGCGCTTCATCTGTGAACTAATAGAAGAACGAGAGTTGACACGTTTAAAGAAGCTCATAATTTTAACTTAACCTCAATAGAAGGGCGAATAGCGTCGTCAAAACACGGATACGTCGAGATTTTTATGATTATTACATTTCTATGATCGTGATTTCAATTTTATGACACACCCGACAATTTTGAGAGACGGGGTGGGGGGGGGAGAGAGAGAGCAACGCAGTGATGGAGCAAGCCCACACAGCCTTTGAAGCGAGAGAGTGCTGCGGTGTGCAGCAGACCTCGATCTAGCCCGAAACCTACATGATGTAGCAACACGGACGCGTAATCTGTCACAACAATGTCAAACGCAAGAGAAAAATGCCTTTTTATTGACTTGACAAAAAATACGAAATAATCCAGGCTGTTGACAAAAAGCAAGTTCCACTGGCAGAGATTTGTCGTCAGTTCGACTTTCCATAAGGGTCGATTCAAATCATTATCAAGGACAGAGAGAAGATAGTGGCAGCATACTCCAAAGGAAAGTTTGCTCTGGATCGAAAGAAGATGAGACTACCCGATGCAGATGCTGTCGACCATGCTCTTCTGGTGTGGTTTAATGAGGCAAGGAGAAAGTTGGTGTCAAAACCCCTGTTCGTGGGTACTTGTGGCAAGGGAAACTACCCATGAATAAGTACAGCTGGATTAGTCCACAAATGCTTACTTTCCTTCCATTTCTGATTTAACAGAGATTGGATATAACAACAGGACATTTTCTCAACTCCCACCATCCCTGTTATAGGTTTCCACTGTAATAGCTAAGACACTATGAGCACTAAAAAACAAACTAAATTAGAATAGAGAGAAAAGTAGGTCCCCTTTTGATTCTGGCCACGCCCCAGAACACAGAGGAGAAGTCTTTCACCACCTTGAGCCTTGAGGACCTCTGACTCAAACATGATTGCATGCAGCTTTTCTTCCACTTCCATATACCCATTTTTCACACCGAAAGCACCCATCAACCTTTCAATTTAGCTATCTGATGAACTCAAACTTGTTGATGGAAAAATGGTTGTTTTGAATTCATGTCATGTGAAGAAAACATTTGATCGAAATTGACAAATATATGTGTCACGACATGGTGGAATCAAGCGCCACTCCATTTTTGGCCATGTGGAGTAACTATGGTATCATCTGAAAGCTTATAAATTCTATTGTCTTGCTTTTTTATTAATGAAAAAAAATACCCTTCTATCTTGAATAGATTGAAGGAGGTGGAGTCATCTGGTTTCAGTGGTAAAATAAGCGATAAAATGGCTGCCGTGGAAACTTCAGAATCAATAGCTTTCAATGACAGTCCTTGAAAACTAAAAAAATTATATAATTTTGACTTTGAATTTTGTGCCACCAGTCCCTTTTTTTCAGTAAAATTCACATGGATGTGTTTTATGGACATAATTATAAAGGTCTTCAGCAAAAAAACTATAATTCAATAAAAACTGTAAATCTGACGGAAAAATGCCTGTTTCATCGATTTCATTATTTTGACGAGTGCCTGATTTCACCACAATGCCTCACAAAAGTCACTATATCTAGTCAAGAACATTCGATCCTCAAAAAAATAAAAACATGAAAAACATCCATCAAGCTCAAAAAGAAGAGTACCAAGCATGAAATACTGTGAGAAGAATTATAATATAATGGTTTTAAAAACTTAGAGAATCTACTTAGACAAGTTAAAGGGGTATTTTCAACTTCAAATGACTTCATTAAGGCCAGGGTGTCATGAAGTCAATTCACCAACACACATTTGTTTCCATCAAATCATGATTTTCATTCGTTAACATTAACCTTGTTACATTGTCTTCACAAGTTGTAACAAGGATGCAATAAATTATCGTGTCAGACTATAATTATTTCTGAACCGTTCATTCACCCTCAAGAAAGACATAATTTGACATAATTTCTATGATTTTCAGAAAAGAAATTTGACAGAAAACAGTCTATACAATACACACAAACAAAAGTTGGCCATACCAGGCACACACTTTAAATATATTTCAGTATAGGCACAAACATAGCGAAATTCGCAACAGAATATATTTCAGGCCCTACATTTTTTCTTGCATTTTCTTAGTTTTCACAAATAGAAAATAATATACACACACATGAAATCATGAAACATTAACTCACTAACAGTGAAGTTAGAAAATTTCAAAAAATATTGTTCTCAATCTGATGCTAACAAACAAGAATTTAGCTCAAGTTCAGACTACTCCAACTCTTTTAAAAAATGTCACATTCTACTTCCATTACCTCTGCTGCTATCAAAGAGATTCAAAAGTTTTTAAACGGCTGTTTGAAAAGTTGCATGAAAAGAGAATTTTTGTTTCTTTTAATGTGAAAAGAAATGCCTGAGCTGAAAATGAGCACAAACTCTAGGACAGAAGTCTATTATATTCAGCTAACAATGGTGACTTCTTGACAGATTCCCACATTCTGGCAGCAAAGTGGTACCAATTTTTCTCCGTCAGCGTGCTCGGAGTGACCGGTGACCTGTGCGCTGACAACACCTGAGCTCGATAAAAGGCCAGCAAAGTGTTGAAGCTGGGATAGCCCCTGTAATCTGGCAGCATCGTCTGAAGCCATTCAGGCTCTGATTTGTAGAATTCCATGACGGGCAACATGAGCAAGTTAAACTGTCCCGCTTCTTGATTTGTCATATTTTCTACTCTGTGTATGATCGCGTCGCCTTGACAACCATTGGTCATGTTGATGTTGTTCCGCACCTTCAGTTTGGACGACTGAAACACTCGGTGTAGCACCTGTTGCATTGAAAAGTACGAGTCAGCGCTGAAGTCATCTCGTGAGGCTTTGTTGTGAACGAAAATCACGGTTGGATAAAAGTCACTGCCATCTTCCTTTGTGGAGGAACCATCTGTTGATGATGAAGACGGCAATTGCGTTGATGGCTTCAACATTTCAGCATCTTGAATAAACCGCAGAAAATTTAGGTCAGTAAACCAATCATCAGCCACTAAAACAATATTACACACAGACAGCAAGAATGTGAGAAGTTGCATGGACTGCATTTCAATAAAGTTTTGCAGGGACGAATACTCAGACGGAAATTTTCGTTCATACCGCAGTTGGCAGTCCATTACAGCAGCACTTAACAACGGCTGGGAATCCAGCAAGATGACTCTTTCTGATGTCACAAACATATCAATGCCAGATGTTTGAAATAGGCAGTCTTCTTTAGTCTCTTTCGTTTGGGGGAAGAAAAAATAGTTCCTGTAAGCATCCTGATGAGTGTTGCCAGCAAGCAGAGACAAAAGAGTGGATTTGCCACAACCCTGAAGCCCCACAATTCCAATGACTACAAAGTCTGTTTGATCAAGCATAAGTTCTAAACCAGTGTCACACCATTGAAATGAGTCATCGATAAGTTTTATTTTGCCTTGCTTTTCGAGAGGAGGCGCGAGTTTGCTCTGAGTCTGGGCCCCTTGGTCAATCACACCACTGATCATGTTACCCACTGCACTAGGTACTGACGCTGAAGACCTTTTCATTGGAATAGATGGATGAGAATGGCTCTCTTCGCTTGAATGAGACGAGTCATCATTGGGTGATGAATAAGAGCGAGAATCTGTGGAATCTCCTTCGTGGTGTGACTTTACCATGGTTACACGTGGCTTATTTTCAGATGACAGCAGAACAACAGATGATTTGTCACCTAAAGTTTGGTTGTCCGTCGAAATCTCCGAATACAATACACTAGGACCCTCGGTGTGTTGACTCTCACCGCCAGTGGACGAAGTGTTATCTTCACATTCGGAGGACAATGTTGTTTTGGATGGTTTTGCAAGTCCAAGTATTGTGACTGGTGGTTTGCTGGGCGAGGGGGAAACATCCTCACTTTGCCGTCCATATTCATTGCGATCTCTTCTCCGTCTTCTTCTATTTCTGTCGTAGGCATCAGCCATAATTTCAAAGTACTGCTCACGCTTCAGAACAGTGGTCAACAAAGATACTTTCCCAAGAGGTGTATACAACAGGGAATACAAAACGAACGATTCTTACACTCAACTTGTGTTTACTGTCGACCGGAAGAAGAAGCTCTTTTGCATAGAGAATAGAGAAATCCAGAGAGTGTCAACGACCTGATACACTGTCAAGATTACCGTATAATGGGAAATAACCTTAGTATTGCGGAAAACCGGAAGCTCTAAGAAGGGTGCATTATATTTTAAAAGTTAATATTTTTTTACATAACCCATAGCCATATTTTTTTTTACATTCAAACATAAATGCTTTTTGAGGTGTGTTTCGAAGACTCTTTCCTAAGATAAATGTAAAAAAATACACGAAGAAATATGACTATAACTCTCTATATACTGTTTGATACTGTTGAGAGCTCTAAAATAAATGCATACGTTTGCCTCGAGCAAATCGATCCCCGTTCACTCATAGCAAACTCTGTAGTGCGCTTTATAATCGGTAAACCTAGATTATTACTCCCACAGACCTGAGAGCATTCTGAAACAATCTCATATTTCCATGAAGAATCCTGTGCAAGCTGTTATACAGACACTAAAACACAAACAGTATATTAGGCCGACTGACAATATCTTTTCGCTTCCATAAGAATGCCGGGTACCATATCATATACCTGGGAGAAGTGAGGAATTACATCTTTCCCAAGGACACAACGTCAGGCTTCGTGGCTCGGACCCTCGTACTTGCAACCTCAGGATTACGAGTCTTGTTCGTTTATTTTGGTTAAGTGTTTTACGGTGCACCCAACTGCATAATTAAAAGGTCGTTAAAAATTGAGGTCGTGGGACACATTATAAACATTTTCCTTAGGTAGGAAATTTTGAATTTTGCCAAGTAGCAGCTGAAGCACTCTCATTGATTTTGGACCACCAAAGGATCTTAACGTTTGTAACTTGCATAGGACCTCCGAGATTTTTCCCTCTAATCCGAGAAGGCTAGGTTAGATGTTATGTAACCAAAGATAAAAAAGACAGCAGAAAGAATTTGAGGAGCTTTAAGGAGTAGCAATAGAAAGGCTGCTAAAAAAAAACCCAGGAGGCCAGAGGAGGGGCAAATTAATTAAGGGAATGGGGTGGGGTTGTAGGGGCCACAATTAAGTAGTGACGAAAGCAGACTAGAGTAGTATTTAAGAGAGCAGGAAAGCCATGAATTAAGGAGAACATATTTTGGAGAAGAAAATTTTTCGTCGCTGTACCGCAGGTTTCGACTGTGGACCTAGTGAAGAGGCGAACGTGACGCTGTAACTTAAATTCTAGATCACGAGAGCCCCCATTGCAATTACAAGTCTACTTATAGTGGCCTAACCAATAGAAAGCTTTGTAAACACATCTAAGCTGAAAAAGACACTTCACCCCCCCCCCCCCCCCCCCCCCCCCACACACACACACTCAGGGCCGCGTTACCCGTAAGGCTGTTTAGGCTGTAGCCTAGGGCCCCGCGCTTCAGGGGGCCCCGCGTTTGCAAACACGTTTAAAAATGTTTTTCAACACACAAAAAATTGTCCTCTTGTTGAATTGTTGTTGTTTGTATTGCTGTTGTTTTTACAGTTGTTGTTGTTGTTGTTGATGTTGATGAGAAGGATGTTGATTCTACCGCTGTTGCTGATTGGTTTCGGCTGCCTCATACTTTGTAACAGAAACAGATCTATAAATGTGTTGTCGTCGTCTTAATCCACATTACTGGTGATACCGGTAGGCCTACATGTAATCATGTTTTACAGTATAGCTTTCCATCAGTACGGGGCTACAATGCGGTAGTAGTAGCATCAACGTCATCGAAGGGCCCCGGCCCCGCGGCTCATGGACAGCCTAGGGCCCCGCACTTAGTTAACGCGGCCCTGCACACACTCACACGCCCCATTTTTTCTTCTCCAAGTCCGAGTTTGATGATTTTTTGCTACGTACGTGACACTATGCTCTGCACAAAACTTAAATAAGGCTCTTGAGAATATTATTATAATTCTAACGCAAGCCAAAAGCACGGCAATATTAATAATTGTCTGTGACAATTATAATTAATATTATTATACTAATAAACAAAGGCTAGCTCTGCTATAACTTTGTTCTCTTTCGCTGTCCGCTACC